CCCCCCTCCCCGCCCCTCACCGCTCCCCTCTGCAGGGCTAGTCGGGATCGATGTGAGGGCGCGGGGGGCGGCGCGGCGGGCGAGGGGGGTGGACGACGTCTGGCCTCCCCGTTGGCGGCGCGGCGTAGCGATAGTGAAAGTACACTGCTCCATGGTTTATGGCCACGCAGCATCAGCTGGCCCGGCGCTGGGCGGCGGCCTTCTGCTCGGCCCAGCCAGCCGCCGGGTCCGAGGGGGTCTAGGCCCCAGCCCCCCTCCCCCCCAAGCAGGCCACGCCCCCAAACCAACTCGCCCATCCTGCTCGCGGTGGTTTTTGTTTCACTCGCCAAACTGCTGCTTTTGAACCCACACCGCTCTCACAGTAGTCAGTAGTATCTCATTGAAAGTTTCGCCGTTCTGCGTGGGGTGTTTTTTCCTCGCCTGCCCCTGCTGCTGCTGCCGCCCCCGCCCCGACCGCCGCCGTGGCGGTGGCGGCAGCTGGGCGTTATAGACATGCTGGCGGCGCCGGCGACAAAGTTCGGCGCCGTGCCACGCCGCAGCCCTCCGACGCCATGGAGCGTATGGTTGCGATTGGCGTGGCCCAGTTCTGCCCCGCGCCGCCCCGCGCAGGCCCGCGCCCTTCACCCAAAGTGTGGGGCGGGCGGGCATACCCCCTGCGAAGGGGGCGCGCGGGGTAGAGCCGCCGCGGCCCCGCCCCCTCGTGTTGGTCTCGTCTCCTCGTCGTCTCAGAGTGTCCCGGGGGAGGAGTCCGGTTCCGGTGGAGTGAAGGGGTGAGCGGAGCGGGGCCGATGTGTCGGGCTGTTTGGCCAAAAGCTGCAGACGCACTCGTTGACCTCAGGCAGGCCGAGAGAGAGAGAGAGAGAGACTCTGCCACGTCCGACGATGATGATGGCTTTATTTTAGCGGTCAGCTGGCCCCCCGTCGTGTTGCCAGCCAGCGCCCTCCTGCACTTTGGCACCGTCGCGACCCGCGCGCGCGGGCGTGTGTACAAAGGTGCCGTTCATATTTGATTTTTGTGTAATCTTTGTTCTGGCTGTTAAACTTGGAGCTGGCAGTGCGTCTCATCCCATCCGGTGGTGGCGCGCTGCGGGGCTGGTGGTGCGCGCGCGTCGTCGGTTTGGCGGCCGAGGCAGACAGGGCGGCTGCGAGTTGAGGCTGCCGACTGACCTTGCGAACTGCCTCGATCCACTCGAGAAACGTTTACTAGTAAAAGAAACCGAAGGACACCGTTTTCGTAACGTATGTGAGGGACCAAAGGTTGTCAAAGTTGATACGTACACTCATTCGCGCAGCCAGATGAAACTCTAAAAGCCGCATTTCAGTCTGGTCTGCTCTGACTGCAAGCATGTTCTATTGCTATTGCTTTCAAAAGCCGATTTTCCGTTCTTGAGCCGGGCAAACGTTTGTGAACCGTGAACCACTAAACTAAAGACCGACCCGGGCAGACCCGGCTTTGCTCTCTGGGCTTGGGTGTGTCAAAAGGTGGCGTTGTCCACGCCGCCTTGCCGCCCTGCCTCTCGTGAACCTCTCCCTCATGGGCCCTTCCCCTCCTCTCCTGAACTTGTCTCTCCGAGTCTCCTTGATAACAATGGCGTCCTCATGGCTTTTGTCCATTGTGCCGGGTCTCTCTGCCGGCGTCGTGCCGCCGCTGCGTAACAGTGCATCGCCGCTGTGGCAATGCGCGTCCCCTCTCGCCCTCTCTCTCTCTCTCTCTCTCCCTCTCTCCCTCACACACACACACGCGCGCACGCGTTTTTCACTTGCCTTGTTTCTCCCTGTCTCTCGCTGCTCCCCTGTGTTCCTCCTCTCCCTTCATTACTTTTTTCCCTCCCTCTCTCTCTCTCTGCCTCGTATTTCACAATGAGGGCCTATTTTCCTCCCCGGTGTGGATTCACTGGATTCTGCGTACGCCACACACCCCTCAGCTCGGCTGCGCTGCTCTGCCACCTTTTTCTGACCGCATTATTGTAATGTGTCTGGGCCGGGTCGGTGTCGCTCGCAGTCTGTTATGTCGCGGATTGGCCGGGACGTCGTTAAGTGATCGAATGAATGGCGGGGCGGGGTCGGGGCGGACGCGATCCTGGAGGATTCCGGAGGGACCCGCGGGGAGGACGCGCAGCGCAGGACCCGTCCTCTTTTACGACCTCGACGGCGGCGGCGGCGGCTGCTGTTCGGCACGGCGGGGAGCGCGGAGGAGGAGGAGGAGGAGGAGGAGGAGGTGGTGTATAGTGTCGGCCAGGCCCGGGCCTTATCTCCCGCAGGGTGCATCGCTCGGACTCCACCGTGACGGGACGGGGCACTCTTGTACCCGATTTACTATCCGCTCTGGGTCCACTGGCCTCCCGCCTGCTCTGCCCTGCCCCCCCGCTCTCGGCCAGACACCTTGGCGGGGCCCGGCCGGGCCCACATGGGGCCGTGCGTGAGATGCGATAGACTTGGGGGGAGGGGGGGGGGAGGGGGCCGCCGGCTGGGCCGAGCCTACCTGACGCACCCGCTCCGACACCCCTTCCCTCCCCCGACTGCCTCCGGGCCCGGGTCGGCTGTGGGCCACTTATGGCTGCCGCTCCAACCGCCCGCCGCCGCCGCCGTACGTAGTGTTTTATTTGATTTAGTCCGGGTGTTGGGCCGGGGTCGGGCCGGGCCCAGGGCGGCCGTGTTGATGACGGTGGGGGTCCGAATGGTCCCGCCCGCGCAGCGCTGTCCCCGCCGGCCGATGACTATCGTCGCCGCGCTGCCCCACTCCCCTCCTCTCTCCCCCGCCGCCTTGGCGGTGGGTTTGCACGCCCCGGTCACGAGTGACGCATCGCATCACGTCCGGGCCACGCGCAAAGCCCGTTTGCGAATCTTGTGGCGGGCGCGCTGTGTGTCCGTCTGGGGCGGGGTGTGCTCATGTAGGAACAACGCCTTATCGGCCGACTGGGGTGATCAGGATGGGTATCCCCTAGCCCCGCCCCGCCCCTCCTGCTCACACGGTCACTGCCTGATACGCGTCCGTGACCCGCGGGGCGGGGGAGCGCACAGGGCGAAGTGGCGCGATGCGGTCTGGTGTCTGGTCAGCGAACTGCTGCGTTTTTTGTCGCCGCCGCCGATGTGTGTGGCTGCTCGCTCCACATTTTCCACACTGCACTAGAGTGAAGAAGATGTCTGGTTTGTTGTTGTTTTTTTGCTGTCGGAAAAAGTGTGCTTCTTGGTGTGTATCTCGAAGGCGCAGCAGCAGGCGCCGCCGGGAGCGCGGCTTCCCCATCCGTCTACACGGGGAGGGCGCGCGGTGGTAGGCTGAGCAGGGGAGGCAGGAAGGGATGATCCGTGCACGCTCCAGTAGTCTTGGCGCGCCGTGCCGTGGCGTGGCGTGGCGCACGCTCACCCTCTGTCCCGTCCCTGCTGCTCCCCTCCGCGGCGTGATGCAGCCAGTGCACCCCGCAGGGCCGGGGCGGCGCGCGGCGGGGCGCGGCGTGGCGTGCCGAGTCTAGCGGAGCCGGCAGACACGCTGACGTCAGCGCCGCCCCCACCCTGCTGCGGGCCGTCTGCCATGCGCTGCTGCGCCCCGCCCCGCCCCCGCAGCGCCCCGCGCCGCACCGAGCCACACGTGCGTTTGCAGATTGCGTAACCGCGAGCCGCCGTCGCGTCGCTGTCTCGCCGGTCCGGCCTGTGCAGCGGCGGCGCGGGGCGGCGCGGGGCGGCTATCGCCTGGACGGCTGGACGGCCGGTGAGGCCGGTGACAGCTCGGCGACGCACCGCGACGCCGCCTGCGTGGGGGGCAGTCACCCGGCCCCTGCGGCCTGCGGGGCGGGGACCCTGCCCGGCCCTGTAGCGGGCGGCGCGGCGCGGTCTGGGGCGCGAGCCGGATACGCGTACGTACGTGGTTACTTGGTCTGGCGGGCGCGCCGGCCCCAACGGGGCCAGACGTCACACCGTCAGACAGCCGGGGCCGGCCGTGGCGGTGACGACGAGGGCAGCGAACCACTATCAATGTCGCTCCAATGCTGTACCCTCTTTTTAAAAAGTGTGGCGGCGGCCGCGACGGCGGGAGCCTTCTTGCACCACCAGCGGCCGTCTGGCCTGGGGGTGCAGCGGCGTGTAAAGTCTTTCTTTGACGGACACAAAATAACTCTGTACACTTGGCTGGCGCGATGTCTGGGCCGGGCGGGCCGCCGGGGCCGGCCGACTGTACTGTCTCAGTCGTTATCGGCGGGCGTGGCGGGGCGCGGTGCAGCTATACGCCTCTCCCGTTCTCTCTCTCTCACGCGAGTTCTCTCTCACCCACCCGGCCCTCCCCCACGATCCCAACTTTGAGCGCAGAGCGTCTGCGCCTCCAGTGTCCCGTTAAAGGCCCTCGAGCGCCCTGTGTCCGAGAGAGCTTGGCCGGCGGGGCCCCCCGAGTGCGCACCTGGCCCAGCCCGCCGCGGGCCGGGCGCGGCCACGTCCGCAGCGCCTGCAGAGTCGTTGAGTAATGTTATTTGCTTATGAGCCGCCGTCTGTGTAGCGTCTGCAGCTCAGGCGGCGGCGGCGCGGCTGCGGCGCGGCGGGGAAGGCGTATTACCACCACAGACACACGGTTCGAGCCGAGCCTGTACCCGCCCCGCCTGGCTGGCTGGCTGGCTGGCTGGCTGCGGCGCTGGTTGGGGGGCGGCTGCGGGTCGGCGCGGGGCCGCGCGTCTGAGCCGGGCCGGGCCAGCGGGCGGGGGCGGGGAGGGTGGGCGGCAGTCAGACAGTCAGTCAGGCCGAGTGGGACCAGACACGTGTGTACTCGGCCCGGCTCGGCTCGGCTC